GATACAAACATTGTGCTCATACGGATATGAGAAATATAAAATTGGTCTGGGAAATTCAATTACAGCACGCTTAGGATCACCGTCGAAGTTGGACAATGTAAAGAAAAAACCTGTATCACGAAGCAAATTCTACGTGACTTTTTATGAAAAAACCATTTCAACTTGCGCCCGGAGTGCCATTCTCCACGCTCTCCGCCGAGACCGTTGATCAGTTAACTTTTAAAGCTCATTAAAATAGATGGTTCATTCGGATCGTGTAAATTTCAGCGTGGCGGAAAATTAAAACGATACCCGGGGCAAGCGCCACACCACGACGCAGCGGCCATTGTAAAAATATGCAAAACTGGGACGCAAGAGGGAAACTTCACCCTCACACGTTTACTTCGCATTAAAAAGTTTATCGTGGTTACGGTTTTGTAACCGTTTTCGAATTGCAATATATTTCGCGCAACTGCCCGGATTTTTCCGTGCCGTAATGCTTTATCGGGAATCGTTCTGTTTGTAAAGAGAGTTGCGGTGCGTTTCGGGCTCGTTGCGGCCAGAGAAAACATTGCCTTCACCCATTTAGTTGGCGTTTAAACCGGCATGCGGTTGCTGGTCGCATCCCAATGCAATGAACATATCGTAAAAACACCATTCTTATAAAGGACGATAGATACTCATTGCGTTGGGTACATTCGCTTTGGAAACATTTATCAAGTAACAAAGAAAGTTTTTTCTTCAACTAGGTGGAGTGACGACTTGGAAAAGATTCCTGGCAGGAGCTAAGTGCCGAAGACAGGGTAGGATGGCGCGTATTGGGCCTATGCCCAGTAGACTGATATTGCCTATCATAGGCTAATAATGATGATAGGTAGAAGTGTAGAGTCTGCATTCAGGTGATCACTTACCCCTTCAATTCGCAGAAGAACGTTCCTAATGAGAAAGTTCCGTTTTCTGCCACAACGCTACTGCATCGGGAATCGGTCGGTTTTTGCAAGACAAAGCGCATTGGCATGTATTGACTATGGACACTCGTTCTCTTATCGGACTGCAACAGACGAGCGGCCCGGCCACAAGCCGCTAAATACCCCATACTTACGCGAGTGTCGCGCCGAGATTCCCTTTTATGGGACCACGCAAATTGAATGGGACCTCGACAATAGTAAGCGCACCTTTATTTAGTGTGATTAAAATTTCATTCATTAATGCCGCACATTGGGCTATTATGAACATATCCTATTCAAAACGATTTTCAATTAAAAGTGCGGTTGGACGTTATCTATGAGGCACATGCATTTTGTATTAAGCTATACTAATGGAAACATTATACTTAGGCCGAATTGCACCATTAAACTTTGACCGTAACTATAACGATAACCGATAATTTTTGTATGGAGTTTGACAGATTTTTGACGTTTGTTACAGTCAAAGTAAGATGGTGCAACACTGCCATAGATTGATAATGTTACCGTAAAATTGTGAATGCCGTCAGATTATTATCTAACCCACTGTTAGTTTACAATTTCACATGTTATACTATAAACTGACGGAGTTCACAGTTTCACATAGACATAATAAAAATTCAAGGTGTAATAAAACAAAAGTTTAATTAGTAATTCAAATTATTTTATTAAAAATAGATTGTCAAAGACTAATACAAAAATTAAAATCCATTAGGGTCTTTGTTTGTTTCCATAAACGACTGTTTTCATTTGTGGTCTTTTCACATAAAAATAGGCCTTTAACTGTTTTCGATTACATTTTGGTTTTATAAAACTTCTACAGACACCTTGCTATAGTATATTGTGGAACTTTTATTTTTTTACAATATTAACATGTGAAGTATAATTGAAAAACATAGTTTATTATGAACATTTGACATGTTTTAGTGAGTGCTATCACTGTTTAGCGCATTGCGATCTGAAAGTTACATAAAACTTGTAAATGAGACAGACAACGAATTAATTGCAATGAAAATAGCATTAACTGTGGCTACAAATAAAATAAGCAAGGTATCTAGTCAAAGATGGCTATGAATACAACCTGATCGAGTTAACTGCGCACCTGGCAGTCGTGACGTCACACCGACGCTCTGTGTGCTTACCATGAGTTTACGTTACGTGTGCTCGCTAGCGACTGCGTAAAAAAATGACATTAATTGTATGACATATTGTGCAGCGCCCCTAGCGGCTACTTTCAAGAAACAAAATCTCCATAGAGATTTTTGACGTTTTCGCTAGCGAGCACACTTATCGTAAACTCATGGTAGGTACACTGCACAGTAGATAAATCAAACAGTACGGAAGCTTCATACAAACGCTCGAAATCAGACTCACGCACACAGACGCACGCTTTACACGAGCTCTAAGCGAACCTCGCAGTCCATCCGTCGCGAGTGTCGCGGCATGCACTGTCCGCTGTATTTAAAAAAAAGCATGCCACGAGTGTATTGCGTAGTATACGGCTGCTTGAACTCGGCATCTTCAAAACCAGAACTTTCATTTTTTAAACTTTGTAATAATTCTGAATTGTAAAAATGATTAAATATTACTTTTTAAATAAAGTGCTTACATCTGATTTTGTAATAGTTCTTTTTAAATTACGTAATTACGCTTTTTAAAAATTTATGTGTTCTCTTTGATAAAGTAATTTGCTCCGCGCGCTTTTGTACTAAGTGATGAACTGTATTTAAAATGAGGCAATAGCTATGTGAAAGTAAGTATCCGGTATTTTANTCACAAATCAAGTTCCATGCAATATCATAGTTCGCATCGGAAAGCTCCAGTGACTCAATTACTGAAGCAGCATTTCCTATCAATGAGCCCTTTAAATATTGAAATTTAATAATTTTTGACAAAGTAACATTTTCGTGAATTAGAGAAGCAAAAACGTCATGAAATTCCAACCACTTGTTTAAATCACCACTAAATGTAGGCAACTGAACAATGGGTAANTCACAAATAGGGCATGTAATATCGGAAGGTTTTCAATTCCGATATTGGATTCCGATATTAGATCTCAATATCGGAATTCCGATATTAATATCGGAATTGAGTTCATGTGCAATAAAATTAATATTTGGTTATATTCGTAAGAATTGTGGATTGTTTACAATAAAATCATGATTTTAATCAAAATCTTTAGTTTGGTACAAAACAGCACTTCATAAAATTGAAGTATTTTAAAACCATTTTTACGTTATGGGTATCCATTGCATTTGGTTTTTTATGTGACAAGAGGCAAACGAGCAGACGGATCACCTGATAATGAGCTTATATGGACTAGCAAATAATTAAAGTGTTTTTGTAAAATCACAGGTATCAAACAAACTTTTACTCCTTCATATTACCCTGTTTTATGTTGGCGGAATGAATTTTAGAGTCATTCAAATCACGTGTTACAAAAATGAGTGGTAAAAAACTTGAATATACTTGTAATTTGTTCCTTTTTGATTATCGATGTACAACTCACAAAACCACCAGCCATCATCATCATGTCAGCCATAAGACGTCCACGGGGCAACGGCAATGCTGAGTGGGGTCCCGTTGCAGTGGGCATCTTGTTGGTGAATGGGTGGCACTGCTCAGTTTACTCTTGTTTTTATTTTTTTCTTCTTCCATTATTATGTGCCACTGTCATGTCTATGTAATTGCCTGTATTTGTGTGATGTCCATTGTAATAAATGTATCTTTCTTTCTTTCTTTTACTGCTGAACACAGGCTCCGATGCTGATTTTCACAATGTCCGGTTGGTGGCGGCCTGTATCCAGCGCCTTCCTGCTACCTTTATGAGGTCGTCGGTCCACCTTGTGGTTATGAGTCCTACGCTGCGCTTTCCGGTACGTGGCCTCCACTTCAGAATCTTGCTGCCTCATCGTCCGTCTGTTTTGCGTACTAAGGCAGAACTGTTTGAAGACATTATCACAATGCTCGAAGACCTTAATCAAGTTTTCCAACAGGTAGGCCTTCGGATGAATATGGAAAAAACGAAGCTTATGTCGAATGTCCATGTTGCCCCTTACCCAGTTTCGGTTAGGAGCTCAATTCTCGAGATTGTTGACAAGTAAGTATGTCTATCTAGGACAAACGATTAGCTAGGTAGTTAGATGCAATTTCGAGAAAGAGGTAAATCGTCGATTACGAAGATGAAAGTCTTCAATGTGTGTTACCATTGATGATATACGGCTCGAAAACGTGGCCTTTGAATTTATGGCACAGCGTGCTATGGAGAGGGATAAGCTTGGTGTTTCTTTACGAGATCTAATCAGAAATGAGGAGCTCCGTAAACTAACTAAAGTCGCTGATATAGCCCGAAAGATTAAGCAAGCTGAAGTGGTAATGGGCAGGGCACATAGTACACAGAACTGATGGTCCATAGTCCAGTAAAATTAATGTTTGAAAGGGAGTTGAGATGTCCTTCTTTGTTGACCTAGTACCTATGGCAAATGCTAAAATTGATTTAGAACAAGTCAAATTAACCATAAATAGTGATGGTGAGAGACATGAGAAAATCATTGGTCTTTGCCAATCATGTACTTTAGGCTTTGTGGCAGGTTGTGGCGAGTTTAAACGCTTTGTTTAAAATCTCAATTAAAACTTTTATCTGATTCCGATATTACGATACTGGATCGCTCAATATCGGAATTGAAATATCGGATCTCGCAGTCCGAGATTCCGATATTACGAGATTCCGAGATTCCGATATTCATGCCCTAATCACAAATCAAGTTCCATGCAATATCATAGTTCGCATCGGAAAGCTCCAGTGACTCAATTACTGAAGCAGCATTTCCTATCAATGAGCCCTTTAAATANGGGCTAAGTTTCCGTACTGCTTTAGCTCATATATCTACTGTGTACACTGGTACGGCTGAGGCGAACGCGGCCTCCCCGCGGGTGGGTGCGAGGAAGAATCGCATTCTAGAGAGATGCGCAGATACCTCCATCGGGTTGTACAAACAATACAGAGTAACAAAACATTCAATCGAAGTATAAAAATGATTTTATGATCTTATTTACAAACATTTTGGAAACAATTATGATTTCTGGTTATGAAATAGAGAAGAAGATGGTATCCAATGATTAAATTAGTTTTTGAAATTGTATCTATTGCTTGGTTAATAAATTTACTAGGAAACTTTGTTACATTGTTTTATTTTCCATTTCCATTAACAATGCTGAAATTATTAATGTTAAATTATTTCTGCGGTATCAATGGGATAGTAATAGGTATAACTTAATGATTTAATGTATGGTCAGGTACCTAATTTACAGTATAGACGTGTAAGCCTTACATATTTTCCTTTTTACGACTATTTTGCGGATCTAAGTAACTCGCAGCACAGATAGTGGAACCCTTTTCAACTAAGAAACTAAGTAAAAGATAAACTATGAAATCAATAGGATTTTTTTCCTAAATTTAATTCAAGTTATGATCGTATATTATGGTATTGTTTATCTACATACAGACCTAATACAGATGATATGCAATTATACATGTTTGTGCTATTTACTTTATATAACAAGTGGCTATATTTCAACTCATATCACATATCTTACGTAGATTACAATTTTATTTAAGCTTTATTTTGAATTTCGTTTCACAACTCCAATGTTACTTCAGTATTTATAGTTTAAGAGCTAAAAACAGCTTTGTATGGCACCGTAAATTAAATATAAATTCACTCTATCGTCTCTATCAATCTAAAAACTAAAATAAAATTATTTCTAAATCATATAAATATAAATCAGACATAATACAAACTATAAACCCAAAAGTCCGTTGATGCTAGGCTAAATAATTTTCATAATTATGTATTTACAATACCCACCTCGTATTAATAGGTATGTTACATCAAATTATTGCCAAGCGTTAATTTGTTTCAGTTTCTATAATACTTATCCTAATGATATTGATTAAGGTTACAAAATTCGTTTATTGATATTCAGACGGACATATCAATTGAATTTTATCAAATCCAATAATAATACTTTAAACATTTAATAAGAGTCAATAATTTAACATCTTACCAATCAATTCAGACCATTTAATGTAAGTTTAGCGATACTATTTACAATATTTACACTATACAAACGACTAGGTTAAGATTTACACTAATAAATATTAAATACGCGATAGGAGAAAATTAGGTTTAGGCCATCTCATCGAATAGGCCCAAAAAAGTCCATATCACTCACAAAAACAATCAAATACGCACTGAATAACTGTATCACCGCATTGTGAGGAAGAACTGCGATCTCTCTTTACGTATCACTACACTAAAGGAACTTCGGTCTATACGTCCGTTTGGCACAGGTCGCCGAAAACCGGCAAAGCGTGATACTACCGCGTGACAGATTCCACCCGAAGGTGTGGCGCGGGGGGATGCGCAGGCGCCCCGGATGGCTGCGTCGAGCCGCCATGGCCGTGCCGGAATGACGTCAGCCTCGCCAGCGTCCTAGAACTATCGGTGTCGAAGTTAGGCCGCTCGTACTGATGCTGGGGTCTCTGTCGCTGCGGCTGCATCGCTTGCAACTCGTCATACCCACCATCTTCCCCGTAATTCTCGTCGTCCGATTCCTCTTCCCCGAACGCTCTGTAAGTCGTCTCCGATTCGGAATTCTTCCTCGAATTGATCCCGTACGTCCTACCTATGAGCGACTGCGTAGCCTCATTCTTAGTCGCGTCCCCTTTTCTTTCGTCTAAGCTCTGGTTGTATCTCAACTGAGCCTTTTGAGATTTGTCTAAAGATGGTAAGTCGTAGAACTTGAGCACGTTTGGATGACCTTGGAAGTATTTCTCGCTGTACACATTCCTGTTGTAGTAGCCACCGTTGCTAGCCGGGTATAGTTCTTCATCAGGCGCATATCGATTGTCGAAGGAGTCCACATTTTTACCGGTTTGCGGAAACCAACCCTGCCAAAGAAAACAAATAATTTAACCCTAAACTCAGTATTTAAGACTTAGCAAAGGTGATTGGATTACAAAAACTTACCAAAGAACTGACGCATTGCCGAGTATTAGCTACTAATGTGACGGAGGCGTACGCGGCGGGCGAGTTGGCAGTCTTGCTCGTATTCCATTCATTCCCATTAACTCTCGAAGACGTAACTTCCGCGTACTCCGGCAATTGAGGCGTAACTTTGTCATATTCAGAATTAGCTTTCTCTTTGCTCTGCGTCGTTTGATTACCGGACATGCACAATCCCGGTTGATTCTCCATCCACAGCAGTGATTCAGTTTTTGTCACAGTGTTCTTATTGTAACAACTGCTTAGTGGATGTGACAACGACACGGCCGCTTTTATGTTCATCTGCGTGACTAAACTTGTCCCATTAGAATCTAAAACATATTCATTTCATCTCATTTATCATCAGCATAATATGAAAATTCAAAATTGAAACAAGCTTATTGCAAAACTTAGTTTGTGTGAGACTAATGCCTAAAATGGAATATCAGAAGAGTCCTAGACAACATTATTTGAGTAAACACAATTAGAGATACAATCTACATCGCGTCTCATAATTTGCATCAATTCCATAAATCGAATGTAAATCATCTCGTTTGCCGAAGGCTTAAAAGATGTAAACGCAGAACAATACAAACAAAGCGAGGGAAATTGGCTTAAAGGTAACTGGGTGAGTCGACAAACGAATCGCCTCGAGAAAACAAAATAGAAAACATTTACATTTACTGGGTCTTTATTTCTCGGATTTGTATCATTCCTTTGTGCCTCGAACGTGAATGCAAAGTGAAAGAGATCCAGTGCGCTCACGAGAGGGCTCGTGCTACCTTTCAACTCGAAAGTAATCTAGCGCCCCTCCCGTCGCATGGCAAAGCCTCCGTCAAACAAACACTCGCACCCTCCCACCCTACCACACCCGAGGAATGTTTTTAATTTTGAAATTCTGATGCTGATTCCTCGGAAAAAATTTAAGCGTTTAGGGATTAACTTAATAATTGTTTGAAGTCAACACGTTATCTACAAACCCTTTGTTAACTCAAATTGACACGCCGCTATATTATCTCATGCATTCCTATGAGCACCATGATAAACTCACCATAAATGTTGGGCAAAGCGGACTTTTTCGCAAATATATTGTTGCGCCGCACGTAAATTATGCCGCCAATCACAATTACTTTGAACAACACAATTGCTCCAATCAAAAAGTAAAACCATGTTTCCATTACGAAATCCCCTGCCACTATAGAAACTTCCCCATTGTTGGGGTATCTGAAAACAAATAAAAAATTATTGTAGTACCTTTTAAAACGGAGTAAGAAAGTAGTGAGGGATTGTTTGTTCCTTACCTCGATAATGGATCCAAGCCGACAGATCGAGAGTCAATGTTTAAGTAAACTTTTTGACTGAACGGGCCCAGACCGACGATAGTTTCAGCTGCTATTTGGACCGAGTAACTTACACCAGAAGTTAAATTAGTCATAATCAAACTTGTAGCTTGCTGTACAGTCGTATTTATAGCAATCATGGACTTGTTTGCAGGTATGTCCAGCCAGTTCACCACAACATTGTAGCCCGTAATTATACCGTTTTGTAAATGCAATTCAGGAGGGGACCATTTCAAGTGAACAGTGGTCGTATTCAAAATGTACATTTCTATATTCATCGGCGGACCATCGGGCACTGGAATAAAACATGATTTATTAATTCACATGCGAATGTGGAATGGAACAGGTAAACAGTAATTTAAAATTCGTGCATATAATATTTACCGTCGTCCAAAGTTTGAGCCACCCTGGAATTGGAAGGCTTTCCCTCAAATCTCTTGTAAAAAGGTATAAGGAAAAACTCGTACTTTGTGTATTTTCTCAAAAATGTTATTTCATATCCGGAAACGTCGTTGGAATGTAAAATAGTTTTCATCTCGTACTCAACTGTCATGTTATCTAGCGGTCTATAGTATATGAACAGTCCTTCCAAATAGTAGAAATTCAGTATTTCCCACATGAGTTTTATTGTTTTAGAATCAATTGGCGTCGCTTCAATCAGTTCAACGATGTTATCAGTCAAAATATTGTTTCTGTATTCGGTATTATTAGAGAACACACCGGTTTCCCATAATGCGTTGTTATCTTCTCCGACGGCTACGGACTCCGAGATCGGGCTGGGGCCCGATAAACCATGCGAGTTTTCAGCTCTAACAATAAACATGTATGTGATTCCAGGTACAAGGGATTTAACAACATATTGTGTTACGTGTACCTTTCTCGCCACAACAACCCAACCCCTAGAGTTTCTTGGCGTATTGTTTCCGGTCAAGCTTTCTCTAGAAAAAACTTCAATTTGATAGCCTAGTATGGAAGAGGATCCGATTTTGTTGTTTTGATTCCAAGTTAAGGTGACAGTTGTGTCTGACACGTTATGTATTTGAGGTTTGGTAGGCGGTCCAGGCAAGGCCGATATATCGGCCGCTCGAAAAAAGTGTATGTTTGGATTTATAGGACTATCTACTAACAAAGTCCCGCTCCACACATATTTGCCGTGTGGAGACGAGGCGACACAGGTGTAAACGCCGCTGTCGTCTTTATCTAAATCCTTTAATATCAGGGTACCGTCATTAGACACATTCCTCCTATGATTTTGTATTAATGCTTCCCCTTCGAAATACCAGGCTATGATTGGTTCAGGTGTACCGATGGCCGTGCAGGGGAAAACTGCCATCGATTTTATAGGTAACGTTTGGTTAGAGGGACCGTTTGTTATGATTGGCGGCGGGCGGTCATCGTCTGACGTCACGCTTAGTTTCCCTCTGACAAACGAACTGCCAGCGAAGTTGACTGCCGAACAAACTATCGTGTTTCCAGTATCATTTTTGTTTGTGTCGTTGATTGTGAGTGTTGTGACGCCATCGAGCACCGCTGACGCGTGATATTTGCCACTCGAAGTGCCGGGGAAAATTATTGTTCTATTTCCTTCCAAACTCCAGAACATAGTTGGGTCTGGTCTGCCCGACGATGTACATGTATAAGTTGCTGATAAACCACTCTCAACTGTGACTGAGATCGGTTGTAAGCTAATTGACGGAGGATCTAAAACAAAGATTAATTATATGATTAATGATTAATTTTTTTCTTACAAATCTCAAATTGCGAGGCTTATGTCCGTTTTCACCATCATTCCTTAATTTTTAAGTGACCCTAACCCTATGGTAACACATAACAGGAATTTTGTTTTCAAAGGGGTCACTTAAAAATTAGGGATTGATGGTGAAAACGAAGGTTAGTTCTTAAATCTCAATTACTCACCGTATACAGTTAGATAGCCGCTAGCACTGACAGCTCCAACAGAATTGTCAGCTTCGCACGTGTACTCGCCCTCATCAGCCAAGATCACGTTGTCTAATCTCAGGCTTCTGTCGTCTAGCACCTTGACGCGGCCAAGTGGCATGTTCCCGCCTCCGGCAGACCTCCTCCACAGCACGTCGGGGAGGGGGTCACCCCCCACTCGACACTGAAACGTCACGCTGCCTCCAGTCTGCGCCACCACGTCGTCCGGGCCCGTGATTAAATACGGCTTAACTGCGCAATGAGAAATGTCCCTCTAAATTACACAACAAAAGAGGCATCCCCGGCTTACATTTCAACGTCAAGTTGCCAGAATTACCAGCGCTTGCGGACATCAGATTAGAATTCAGCGTATGAAGGCATTCATGCGAATGGGAACTCACTGTGTATTTTGAGCGTTGCGATGGCAGATTCCCTGGTACCAGCCGCATTCCTGGCGATGCATTGGTAGCGGCCGGCGTCGGTTTGCCTCGCGTCTTGAATCACAAGGCTGCCGCCGTCTACCAGGTGCATTCTGGAGGATAATGCACGAAATTCAATGGCTGATCGGAATTGCACAAATCAATCTAATTAGTCAAACCAATATCCTAATTGAATATGTAATTTCATTTAGGCCAATTTGACTAACATAAACAAGTTGTAACGCGGTATTATTACCTATCCAATAATTAAATATTCCCATTTGTACATGAATTCTGCGCTTTATAATTTAACTTTAAACATTATTTTCTATTTAAATTACTAAGGAGCTTTTGTGTTAATAACAACGAAAGGAAAAAATAATGAAGAATTTCATTACTTCCAACAAAGTGCAATGCAACAAAGTCATTCAAATGTAGGGCGGAATAATTCAATAGGAAATTAACATTTAATAAGGGGCCCGGTGAATCAGAACTATTCAGATTTTTGCTTGATTGCTTGTTGAGCACTTCAAATAACCCCTCCCTCATATCTTTGATGTACCCTCCCCACTGTTAATTATTTTTATGCTTCGCCATACGTAACGATGTGTGCCCTCAAGATGTAACTTGACGCTCATAAAAATTCATGGAAGCCAAAAGAAATAAATTGCCAATAAAACTTTTAAGCGAAATTCAATTTTGACACCCGCGTTTACTATTGTTGGTTTTGCAAACAAAATGGCTAAAGAAACGAAAGTTTCTTCTAACAAACTTTTCAATTCCTCTGTACATTTCATTATAGTAGGTAAGTAATTGCGCAATTTAATCGCGAAAATAATCAGATTTTAAAGTTAAAATCGTGTTCGATTCTAAAATAACTAAGACTAGTTAGAAGACTAGACAGCAAGACCGCTGTATATGGCTTTAGCAGTTAAATCAGTTAGTTACTTTTCTTTCGTTTCCATTAAAATGACATGTCTTCATCGCTCTCTATGAGTAAAAACCGTGTGTCATATAGGTACACACATCCGTGCGTGTCTTGTGTCAAAGGGTACCCGAGCAGCAATTCACGTGCTATCGTATTCGCAGCTACCCACTCCTCTCACGAGAACACTCATCTGCTACCTACCCTCGAATTTACTTTAACAATCGTTCGTCGTAACTCGTATAATTATTGCTAGATACAAGAGTCAGCATTCGTCGCCGCTTCCGTAGATTTTGAATGTTGGTCGAAGGAAAATATTTTTAAAAGTTACATAGTAGGCAAATCTATTACTTTTTATGCAATTAATCACTTTTACGTTGAGACAGAAAATGTGTTGTGGATGTCACACCACAGAATAGATACGAGCACAAGTCTTTTCTAAAATTTTGATACGTAAGTAAGGGCCCTCGCCGCCCACGGTGACAGCATCGCTACTAACGCGCGTTAGTCGCATTTGCAGCGCACTACAGAAGTGATGCCAACGCCACTAACGCACAACAGCAGCGCGACTGCATCGCTACAAAAAGTCGCCGTGGGCGAGGGCCCTAAGTGATGCTTATTTGTGTTACGAATGTTTTAATCAATATTGTCTTGTTAATGACAAATAAATGTTATTATGCATAAACTTACCTAGAGTCCCCATCAAAATGCAATGTTTGACCGTTCTTCTTCCAATAGACCAGTGGTTCCGGAGAGCCTCGCGGCGGCGAGCATTCTAGTATCACAGTCTCTCCTTGCGCTGTTTGCGTCGACACTGGCTCAAGTCTAAATTCTTCTCGAAGAACTAAAAATTAAATTTAACAATGGCATTTCATTCTATAAAATGAAGGATGAAGTTTAACTCAACATCTATACAGGATTTTGTTATCAGTATCCAATTTTTTTTAATACGCTCTATAGAACAATTTAATATAATAATAAATAATAATAAATTATTGAAAATCTAATTCGCGGGTGCCCATATTTTAATTTTTAAAGGTTAAAGCTAATTTTCGCGTACTATTATGTCTACTAAACTTTTTACTTTTTAGTTAACTGTGTGTAGTTATTTTTAAATGAAGGAAGCATTTTATCTACGTGAGCCAATCTTGAAACCGCGCGCATCGGATAAAAACAATTAAATATAAAAAAATATACTGTTTTCTTTACGTAAATCGATTAAGTTAGTGATTCTGAGTCGCTCCTAAAAATTTGGATACTGATAACAAAAATCACCCTGTATATACAGAGCAGAGACATTTTTTGTACATTGTCATTAATTAGAACTACGATTTCATTGTTGTCACAGTTTAGCTTCAGTCGTAGTGTTGTTCTTATAGGGTAATTCCAGGATACATGCCCCAGTGGGATAGGTGCCGCGATTTTAAGTACACTATGTTACAAGCAACTTAGCCTAAAGTTATAGTACGTATAATAGAAAGGGACCTCCCCGTACCACTTTTCGCCTGGCAAACCCTCAAACAGTGCGTTCGTTTAGCCAGTGAGAGCAAAAATCTTCCGCGGCCAAACCTTAGCGAGCGTCGAAATAAAATTGGTAAGTATCTTACAATGGATAATTTTTTTGTTAGCTGTAAAATGAAGCAGATTTTTATATAATTTGATAGACTATCTTATAAATTATACGGGATAGCTATGTTTAATTGATTTTTAGTGTTATTATATTTTTTATTAAAAAAGGCACCTATCCTATGCTAAAAGGATAGTTGCCAAATTTTTTTTGGGGATAGATGCCCTTAGGGCCATGTCCCATGCACCTAGGGGCATCTATCCTAACCTGCTCTTTTTGTCACAAGTAGCAAGTAAGAATAAAAAAAGAATGTAGTACGGCTAACCTTAGGAAAGTAATAAATAGGGTGCCCTTCTGATCGAATTACCTTTTTACCCGACTTCGGGTGGATGTACTATGTACTATTTTTAATAAAAAATATTAAATTTCATTTTTAATACATGCATCTTAAATAATAATACTTGGCTTGTTTTTCAAAAAGCATTTGATCCTTAGAATTCAAAAACTGTATTAACGAGTCATCTATCCCTGCATCAGGCATCTATCCTTTGAAGCAATCATGCAGTGAGTCTTCTATCCCCCACATTAGGCGTCTATCCCACTTTTTAGAGGTCAATTAAAATGGTATTTACTCAGAATCGGTATAACTTAAACTAAAATAATTATAGTAATATCATAGACGAAAGACCAAAGTTTACAGATACTAAGGTCAAATTGTTGATAAAAACTTACTGACTGAGTTACAGAGCTGTTTCAAAAAGTGGGGCATCTATCCTGGACTTACCCTATAGGTATACTAAATATACAGTTGTTTACTATCTCTACTGTAGCTGCAGCAATCCATTACTTATTGAGTCTATCAAAGTAAAAACTATTGGATGTTGAGTTAAAATGACTTACCGGCAACATGCAGAGTTGCATTCCTGCTTCTTGCTGTGCCAAATGGGTTAGTGGCTTCGCACCAGTACACCCCAGCATCAGAATGGGCACGCCCATGAGTAGCTCTCAAGAAGAATAAACCACCAGCGGGCAGCAGGCTTCTATGAGTATCAGACACCACCAGCACTCCGCCTTTGTACCACTTTATAGCAGGAGTGGGGGATCCTCCAGCCCGGCAGTTAAGTGTGGCCGGCTGATGTCTAGCTACAGTGACGTCTAAAGGCTGCTCTATGATGTACGGCGCTTCTCCACTACCATTGTAGTCATCGCTTATTCCACCCTCCACTGGACCTGTTGACAACATCGGTGTTTATTCCATCTACCCTTTAAGTATTGATTACCATGCAAACACTTGGGAGTTCTAGTGGGTATAGCAGTTAGCGTGCTATAGCGTCTAATGAAAGGCGACGCTCGGTCTCGCATGGTCCCACCCACTGCAATTTCCTGTACACGTTCAAGCTTTATTTTAAATTTACCTAACAAAAGACTTCGGAACGGTTTATTTTAATAATAGCTTGAGTATGTCATTTGCAGCTACTCTAAAGCGGCGCACAATAATAATGAGCCGTAAACACAGGCTTGCCGAATCCCGGGTCCCCCAAAGGATGCTGGTGGACCCCTGCACTATTTTACTGTGTTTACAGCGAAACGCGCAGATGTTAGTTTTTGACACTTGAATTGATGTATGTCTATTGTTAGGCCTCGCTATTATTATAGCGACGCAAAAATCGATCAGCGGAAAAAAATTGATTCGGTGTCCGATTTTTGGCGAAATGAATCTCCGGGCTTGGAGCCCTTAGTTGCTTAGTTTAGAAACAAGGTCCTATTTCTAACAAAATCAATAGGGATTACTCTTTTGTGTAGAGTAATTGTGTTTATTTATTCACGTGTCCCAGTGATGTGAATGCGGTACGATACAAGGGCTAATCTATAATTGAATCTCCATTCGATTTGCTATCGTTCGATTTTTGTGTCCAAATCCCTGTTTTTATTTTTCCCCATATTTTATTTTACAAATTCTATTTTCGGTTTTTTCTAACTTAGGTTGGAGGATTAAAGAGATGGAATTCTTTATTAAACTGAGCTAATATTATTAACAATTATCTTTATGTTAATAATTACCTTTTGTATCAATCATTATGGATGCAATAATTTTAGCTAGGTACTTTTTGACTTGATTTTATAAATGAAAGTTTCAAAAAACTTAAACTTCTTACTCGTTTATAAACTCTAAGGCGTTAAATTGAGCAGATATAAATCAAACGTTTTGTATTCTTCATGTTATAAATCATAGAGACTACGATTCCAGGATAACCAGGATCAATGAATGAATTATATCGCAAAAGGAACGGCAAAAAATATTGACCGTGACAGTTATAAATTAGGTGCCATCCTCGTAAAGAAACGCCATCACGGTCTTATATAGCACTTATACAACAAAAGCCGATATAACAGCACTTATATACAGCCAGAGGAGATATAAAAGTGAGATTTAGCAGATTGCGAGCGACATAAAATATTGTTTATGTTGATCTCGATACGTTACTTTATCGGGCATAAAACTAACTTTATTGCATAGATGTGCGTCAATCGATTATTGGATATTACATTAGGATGTCCTGTCCTATAGTAAAATATGAAATGCAACGTAACAGTCTGTACTCATAATATTGAACTAGTGTATTTATGAACTACTAGTCTATCTAGTCTCAAAATATAGAGTCTGCACCCTGGCAACCAGAAAACGGATATACAGGGTGTTAGGTAAATGGGTATATGAGCCGACACTAGCCCATGTTGACATGGTCATATAAATGGTATGGTGAAGTCAGAAAATTGATATCTTCATTTAAATTATTTTAATTTTCATACAAATCGGATTTTTATAAAATTTATTATGTATGAAAATTAAAAAAAATAAATAAATAATAAATAAATAAATAAATAAATAAATATCCTTGGACATTTTACACTGCGCCGCTAGCCCCAAACTAAGCAAAGCTTGTACTATGGGTACTAGACAACGGATATAAACATACTTAAATACTTTTTTTTTGTAAATACATACATATTATACATAGAAAATACCCAGACCCGTCACAGAAATTAAAATTCATCATTTCAATTTCTGCCCGGCCGGGAATCGAACCCGGGACCTCTCGGCATAGTAGTCCGTTCTGAACCACTACACCAAACGGCCGACAATAAAATAAAATGATGATATCAAATTTCTGACTTCACCATACCATTTATATGACCATGTTAACATGGGCTAGTGTCGGCTCATATACCCATTTACCTAACACCCTGTATATTAAACTAATGCAATTTTTAGAATACATCTACATTTTACATAGGCAACACTTAGCAACATATTATATTCAAGCACGCAAATGTTTGTTTATTGTTATTATGATGCAATGCAACGCGTGACCTCTTTGTTTAGTAGAGTCTAATCATAATCGTGGAAGTCATAGAGCAACTAATCATGCTTATTCAAAGCGCAAGTCTTGCAACTCCGTCCGAGAGCGAACATTCATCTCTTTGTCGCCCGAAGGGAGTGATTTTCAACTCACTCGTGAGAGTCACGAGTAGTTATACTCTATTGTTCGAGAATCTTTGTCAAAAAAAAGTTTGCGAGGGTGCTGTCCCCTGCTAATTTATACTTCTGGCACATGTTGACACGCGCCGCAAGAAAAAAATAAATAAAAAATCGGTCATGGTGACACGAGTTTCGCATTTAACTTGATCGTAACGGCCACTGGATTCGAAGCCCGTTTGAACTCGTGTTTAGTTTTTGTCGGTTTGAAATTGATAGCTCTCAAGTCGGTTACGCTTGGGGAACATATGACTGCACTAGATTTGCACGAATTCAGTTTTATTGCCGTGTAGTGGTTCCCTTTGAGCTTCTTTAAAGCTTTGCCTCAATCCCAGATGTTGAATCTATGACAAAATACCATCGGCTAAATCTTTTTATTTTCAGAACTACACCGTAATTTATTTTTTACTGACTAGAACATTATAATAACATACAATGATTGTAAGTTTTCATCAAAAACTTAATTAGATTTTAATCTCTTGCCACCGTGATTAATCAAAAATATTTTCTCATAATACGAGTATTCTAAACTGTCACCCTATGAAACTTGATATAAATCTAAATTGCGAATATCTAATTCTAATCGCAGTGATTGGCTCCCTAAGGAGGCAATCATGAGGTTCGGAATTTCGAACACGTGTTCAATTTTACAACCCTCTTTGCCATTTGAGACTGATGGCGTTATTATACTGTCTAGTTGTAGAAACATTTTTGCCTAATTGGCCGTAGTCAACGGTCTCGCGAAATACAGAATCAATACGGCCAGACTTTAAGCAAAAAGCTCTAAGTACGTTTGCAATAAGACGCTTAACTGACTTACTTTTGGATGACAAACTCACACTCATATGTAAAAGTAACGCCTCGTAATAAATGAAGCTCACAAGCAAAGATATAAACATTCAAATGTCACGGCAAATGAAACAGCACTTAAAGTTTACGGTGCAAAAAACTTTCTGTCACATGTGTTCAGAATTAGCCGGCTCAGAAACGGACGGACGGATTAGTTTAATATGAATTTCGTGAGTTTACAGTGTTTGTCTTGTAAGACGCTCTGCTAATGCACGAAGGGACAAATTGTTGACATAGTGTCATCTTTCATAGGGTCCGACGTACCTGCAAGAAATGAGGGCAAAACTACGTATATCCATAAGGCTACTGCTACAGATCAACAAACCGTTGCGTTTCAAATTTGAACTTAGATTCGTTGTGATACAGTTTGAAGTTTATGTTTAGGAAAGGTAAAGTTTAGTTGGCATGTTGTAGCCATTTCTTTGGTGGAGTTTACGGAAACCGTCGGCGACAGTTGTGACGGTTCTTCTGTCGTTTGTTGTTGCGACTGGCGCGTGGGCAGATGGGAAAACAATCTTAGATGCTCCGAGGTATGTTTACGCGCACGTCAAAGTGAAACTTTCATGTTTCTTAAATTAATGATACTATTCGGAAATGTGCTACAAAGAAAAAACCCATACTTTATAACATTTCACGTTTCTATCGCTGTTAACAGATATTTTATCAAACGCCTTTTTTAAAGTTTCTTACATAAAATATACCCACAGTTAACTGAATGAACATAAAAAAGATTAAGTTTGCAAACTGTATGCTATCTGATCGGAGATCCTTTGAGACCGCCTTCGAGAGCACAAAAACTTTTTGCCGATGCTCCTTTGCGATGAAACGGCTGATTAGGCTAGCGACATCTATATTTAGTGCTGACAATCACGATTACAATCTTCTTGTGCAAGCCTACTAATCATGTAGGTAGGTCCCGTTCTTATTTACTTTTTCGAGACTTCCGCTCTTTTGTCCAGAATTAAACGCATTATATTTCAAAGGCATAAACGTCCTTATCCAATGGGGGTCACACACGTCAATGTTCATAAAAGTCAGTTTTGTTTGAGCCAAGATCTGAGATAGGAGTCATTTTTCAAATCCTCACAATGACTTGGTACTCCGGCCTGTGATATGTGCCTATTGTTGCCCCGAGCGATTGACTCTGTTTATTTTTATTATTCGTTTTACTACATTTTACGCGGCATCCATCACGCATTAGACACAAAAGATAGGCGTCGTTTAACATTAGCTTAACTTCTTTACGCTTTGATAACCGCCTGGGGTGCCGCTTTTTTATCGACGCATCCCGGCCACAGCATAGAATAATTCAATCAGTGTGACGATGTTTGCTGGGGGACCGAGGATGTTCAAGGTTGGAATTTTTATAGTGTGATGTGTAAAGTTAATTGTGGAATATGCAAAGGACAGATGCGGGCCTGGATTTACGCATCTGTGTTTTGTTAACCTAATGAGTTCTGTCAATAAGTTACGCATTCACTTTATTTGTCCCCAGGGCGCAGTTAAACGTTGCTTTTACGCTACTTCAGTTTTTCGGAGTTAATTAATTTGAAACTAAAATTATCACACATCTATTACAAATATTAACATGAAAACTAGAAACAAATGGCTATAAACAGTAATCAACATTCTAGAAGCTCATATTTTAAGGGGTTACTTTTCCACATTTCACAAGAAAACCCTAAAGTATAAAATTGTGTAATACCGCAATCTAAATCTGTAATTTCTGTTACAAACGAAACATTTTATTTACGGTTCATTGGCAAGCAAATAGCTTATCAACCAACCAAATTAATTCCTGTCGATTTTATTTCCGATGTCAATTAAGTTAGCGTTCCAAGAATGATACGGTTATTTCGTTCCTCGCCACAAATCTTAGATGGTACGGCAAGGCACTAAATATCAAATAGTGTGGGGAAACGCCACCCTGAGGGTGCATGGTAAGCTATTAGCGCTGTTTGAACTCTGGCGTAGGCACTTATTGTCACTTTTTATTGAAACGAGCGTGAGTTCGTGCAAACATGTACGGAGATTGGCTTAGTAATGTAGTTTGTCGTAGAAATTGGTTGACGTGAGAGAGTATTAATGATTTAACCTTTCAATATATGAGATGTTTGAGATATTAGTTAGGTACTTAAGTTATAATAAATTATCTATGGACAAAGCAGTCTAAAAATGCCTACCTGTTTTTTATGGATATCATTATTTGATTACCATGACATGTAGAGAAGATAAGTACACTTAAAATGAAATGAATCCTCTTTTCTAACAAATATAAAAAAATAGTTCTAGCGTTTCTTCACAACAAAGCCGGAATCAAACAGAAAGCCAAATCAATTAAAAAATAGAACAGTTATTATTTTTGAACTTGACTTACCATGACATAAGCAGAAGATCCCTAACAGTGACGTCACCACGGCAAAGGTATCCATCTCGCCGGGGCACTACCACATCTTAGCACACTTTGTGTAGGAGCCAAATTTTGACGGTGATTCGCATTGTGGTCCTCTGTCTTCTCTCATCTGTGGACAAAAAATTTAACATTAATCATAATATTTACTGCAGCCAACCCCGGGGCCTGTAGAGGTATCTTGGAATAGGAACAAAAGCCATAAGAACTTATTGTTACCAGAAGACTAAAAAAAACTAAATATCTATCCTTGAAAATAATTCATGAAGAACGCAAAAATGGACAAAGTTGTGTTTTTTTTTTCAGCACAGTCATGAAAAGGTCAAAATTAAATCAACTTTATCAAATTATTGCCCAATAATATCTAACAAACATAACATCCGTCCAATTGGACCCGGAACGGTCTCGTTAAACTTACTTATTCGTTCAAGGACCGGTGTAATTTAGTTTTCGTTTTACGTAAAATTTCATAAAACCCTTTTCCCTTATTCAATAATACATAACGACGTAACGAGGGCTTGGGACCCTTGAAATCACACCGTAAGGGACAAAAATGACATCCGAATAGCCGAGGCTGCTGCTAAATATTCTTGGAGAAATATATTTTGCTGCCAAATATAGCATTATCATTCTTGCCTTATAACGTAGCGCTTGCCAGTTTTTGTTTCCAAGATGTATTTGCGCCAGCTACCTAGCCTTGTTTGGCAATGTGCTTAACCATTTAAATGTCTAAAATCCTTTTAATCTGAAATCACATATTGCAGTCGTAAAAATTAAAGGAAATCAGTAGGCTTGAAATAGTAGATTCTATAAAAAGACAGATTATTGAGTTACTAAGAAAAGCCACTGCACATTTCGTAACACCAGTTAACACGAATAAATTGTAAGAGCTTCAAATTAAATTGCCCAAATAAACAGCCACTGGACAGCGGCGCCTACGCATCTACTTCCCGGAGTTGCATTAATGTAAACAACTCCACAATATTTATTTGGATTATCAAGAAGACCGTAAACATCTGTCAATCCAAGATTTGGAACTCCTAACTCGTCCGTGTTATGACTTCAAAATTTGAAAATTTGTCGCCAAACGATTTTGAAACTTTTAGCCTCGGCAATAAAAATGTTTGTTATTGGAATGAATTTATGGAACCAGCTTTTAAAATGTGGGGGCGAAAGTAAAACATGATGTTTATGAAATCACAAGAAGAAAACACGTGTTGGACGGAAAGCCATAATTTTCATGCGGGAAATAAAATTTCAAACAAGAATGTTTTATTACATTTTGCTCTTTGCAAAATATATTTCCGTAACAGTCTCGTAATTAAGATAGACGGATGGCTTGAGGAGGATGTTCCAATTAGAACTGTCAAAACTCTATTGATCTAACATTGACATAACATAATTGAAAAGCGTATTGAGTACAGATTTTGATGTGGGTTCAATTTTGTGAGACGAAAAGATGATTGTTTCAAAGTCTGCGGGTGTATCGTTACATAATAACGTTATGTTTTATCTTATTGCTATAACTGTAAGGATTATTATCGGGTACTTTGTTGAGATATTGACCGTATGATAGTTACCCTTGTTCAACGAGAAGATTGGCTTGTGATCGCAGGAGTGTGACCCTGATTTGGCTTGCTCTAAATTGTTTATTTCAAATGCTCTTGACATGAACTTCCGTGATACTCGAGTGGGTTACGATGATGGTGCTGCTTATGGGATTAGGAGGTCCTTCACCGAATTTGTTTAATAAATATTTATGGAAGGGTTGAGAGACATCGCTTATTAAATAAGGGCCAATAAACAATGTGAAAAGCAAAGTAACCAGCTTTCCTGATGATAATATTAACATTTATGATGTTGATGTAATATAAGTATACTACGGTAGCCGCAAAAGATAAGATATTCTTGCTTGACTATGTTATAAACATGAGCGGATTACGCGACACCCTATAAACCAAGGAAAACCGTAATGATAACGGATGTCACACTATTTTACGCCACAGAATGACGCAAAGGGATATTGTTAATATCATATAAACCTAATGATGTCAAAATGGATATACAGTCCCAGCTTCACGGCGTCCATTTTCAGTTTAATCTGCATTATTAGCTGCTATTATGCTGGATAATGTTAATGAGCACCGATGCAAAACGGAAATCGTTTCCGAAATCGGATGAATTATTGAATTCATGAAATTAGAATTTATCGACATTGATTTCGGCTGCGGTTTCGAACGACCTTAGATAACTTTTCGGCTGATACATCCCAATTTTTACGGCTCTATAAACAAGAACAAAGTTCATAAACTAACCTACCCAACATTAAAAGAGTTCTCACGATAAGCACATGCGTCTAACAAACGGTTAACCAAAACAAACGTATCCAAGGTTAAGTTTATAATTTATTACCACTTAAGCGACGACAGGGCAGTAGTTACTCGAAAACTGTATCGCCTTTCATAAACAATGGACTTTTTCGTTGCAAGAGCCGTTGCACAGGAGCTATAAATGTATGCGCATACAGCGCAAAGCGAAACCTATTTGAACTGGACGACAAAAGTGGAGCACAGTTTTTTCATCGCACCCAAATTTCAATAACGTTTACATAAATTTAAAAGTTACTATCAACATCAGGTAACATTGTGCGTTTTTATGAACGCATACACTTAGGCTAGGCTAAGTTGCACCACGAAACTTTGACCGAAATTATAACGATAACCGGGGATTTTTGTATGAAGTTTGACAGATTTTTGACGTTTGTTACAGTCAAAGTAAGATGGTGCAACCGAGCCTTAATGACGGAATAAAGCTTAGCTTTCACTATCACATTTTAAATACTTAACGCCTTGTGACAACACAGGCCTCGTTAGTAATGTAACACTCGAGTTCATAATGCGTCTGTTGACTTTTTACTTTCAAGGCGCGTTTAAAAGATAACTTTAGCAAACGCACTAAGCGCTTCGCTTCATCGTGTTTATTTTTCACATACGGCTGCGTCAACAAATTTTATTAACGTTTGAAGATAGTGGACACAACTGGTTAATTCTATTGCTATTCCTAACATGTTATTAGATGTTTGGTAGAGCCAGGTTCTTGGAATGATTTTTTTCTGTGCTGATTTTTCTGAGGTGCTATATTTACTGTTATGTACATAGTATGTTTTCTAAATAAACAAGGTATGGTGATTATGACAAACTTAAGAAGAACCTTACAATGTTACAGGAAAGTCCCACGAACCCACTGCCTTCGACGGGATCACACGCGGCGGCTTCTAAGCCGTGGGTGCTATTACAAAAATAAATGAAAACATGGCTTTTGAATAATGTTTGTTATGACTGAGCCACTATATTTGTAAATACGCTCCCGAGAAGAGTGTCGACAACTCTAGACCCACACAAAGAGCGATTGATCGTTCGGGTCTCGTAAAATATGAAGGCGCTCCACTTACAGAATTGATTAATTATGAGTTAGTCGAAGTGCGACTCCAATTTGAGTTAGCTCGCATGCTTATTTGTCAACGGCAGTCGAGTTTTTAATTGCGGGTTTCATTAATCGTTCGTCAACATTGATTTACGGTGGCGATGGCGGCGGGCTCGTTACATGTCCGAACGCGATTGACATGAGGATTACTGCGATCGTCTTTTTTCCGTCTGTGCGTGTATTCCGGAATTGCACAAGTTTTTAGGAAAGTTCCCGACAAATCGTCGCTCGTCGCTCACAATAGTATATTTTTGTTCGTGCGGTCTCGACTGACAGTTCGCGTGATGTATTGGGCCCGGGTAGAGGATTATTTTTACCCATTTCGCTAAGTTTGCATGCATCTATTGTCCGCAGCGGAAGCGGCATCACAAAGCGACCGAGAGATTACGTATTGTTCACTGAGTTTTGGGCCTTGTGAATGATCTGATTTGAAATATAATATTTTGAGCTGTTCATAAGCTTGTCTTTTGTTTTGCAACTAAGGAAGAAAGTTATGGGATAGCCTACATTGTTTTCCTTTAATGTGCATTTACCAATATTAAATTGTCTCTAACTTAACTGCGAATCGATTAGTATGCCTAAGTTACGTCACAAAGTATTTTTGTTTTCAATTTGAAGGTACAACATCTTCTAGCGCAAGAATTAATATCCGATTGAACTGGGGAAAAAAGTGAGATAACTCAGTTCTCGGTACCCCTTTTCTTATTATCACTTTTGTAAACTACTAAGATAGTGTCATATAAAAAGACAAGCCGAAAAAAGACACAAAGCCGGTATCCACATTAACACCCCCGATTTATCGTCACAATAAAGACGGTTCGCACGGAATGGATTGTTGAAATAAAAATGAACTGTCGAGGTGTGTCGCACCTGGGCCGGTGTTGTGATATTTAGAGCCTTCTACAATGCCATTATTACTTTTACAACAACCTATGGGACTGTTACACATGATTGCGCTAAGACCTTTTGATTTGACACAACTAAAATTATTTGGCGTTCGTAAAATCGATTTTATTGTATCCAAGCCTTATTTTTTCAGATCATCAAGCTGCATCGTTAGCTCTATTAACAATTTTGGTTCATAACGATAGGGATGTGATGGATATTGGATATCTTACCCCGTAAATGTTGATGTGATATCCAAGTGCTTCCAAACGAAGTTTGTATTATGTTAAACAATAAATAGAACAAACATTTATCAAAGTCCTCTTATTCTAAGCAAACGATTTTTCCAATACTTCCAATGCAGACCAGGCTCACACTCATAAATAATGCATACCAGCTTTGAAGTTTCAAAATGGAGTTGTCAAAACGATCAAAAGAACCAAGTTTTGGAAGCGGCCGCCGCCCAAAGTTTGGCGCCTCGGTGTGAACAACATAAAATATATTTACGAACCAATTAACAGGTCTGGACGGTTGGCGTATCTTACGGTCCCGATATTCGTATTTTATGTGGGTGGTGCTGACTATAAATGTATTTACTTTCCGAAATGTTTACTCAAAAGGTTATATTCTTTCAGCTAAGGTGCTATCATTTACATATTTACTCTACAGCTATTAAACACCGAAATTTTATTTGCATTCAATCAAATTTTCAAAAAAATAAAGTTCATTCAGGTTTTGACTAAA